ATTCTTTATTAAAATAGCATTCTTAAGTTTTTTATGTAGCGAGTGATAATTTTCTTTGACGCTTGGTTTTGTTGTGTTACAATATAATTTTAATTTATCGAGAAATGGAAGATATAAATTTCTGGATGCTCCTTGGTATTATGACAATTTGTAGATTCGTAAATGGATATGAAAAGGAAATGACAGTATATATAGAAGCTGGCAGAAGAGAATGCTTTTACCATTCCGTACGAAATGGGGAAACTATCGATATAGAATATCAAGTGATTGATGGTGGGCATGGTGACTTAGATATAAGCTTTTCACTTCTGGATCCGATAGGATTAGTAATAGTAAGCGACTACAAAAAACCGGAAAACATACATCGTCATGAGGCAAATAAAGATGGAGATTATCGCTTTTGTTTTGATAACGCTTTCAGTACTTATAATCGAAAAACTGTGTTCTTTGAACTTATCATTGAGCAAGAAGGACAGTCAGCTTTTGATAACGACTGGGATAATGCTTCCACTTCTAAAACACCGGAGGAATTATATGATATTCAAGTTCATGAAATCTTAGAATATGTTGGACGCGTTCACATGCAAATAGCGAAAGCTCATCAAATATTAAATATGTTACGATCAACAGAGGCACGAGATCGTAATCTGGCGGAGGCTAATTACTCTAAAGTAAATAAATGGTCACTTTTTCAAATATGTGCTATGATTTCGGTGGGAYTTTTACAAGTATTCATGGTTCGAAGTATATTTGATACAAATACGCGAATGAGCACTTTCTGGAAAAAATTGGGAATGTGATTCACATCCAAACATATCCGGCTTATCAAACGAATGGAATAAAATAATATGGGTGTATGCCTCTACGAGAAATTATCCGCCATTGAAACCAAAGAAAATATTCCAACTTTTACGGAATAACATATACATATGTATGAACAATACTCAGTCTAACTTAATAATACATGGAATGTAAATCTTACTTTAAGGCGATCTAAAAAACACATCAATTCATAAATAATCAACCAGTAGTTGGCTTAGTCTGTCGTAGTAAAATTAAGTTATTGTTAAAAAATTTTCCTGTATAAATAATTGTTGCCATTTTGGTTTTATAGAGAATAGAATATAGAATGAACTAATTTTTTATTACTTCAATTATATATTTGTATGTAATATTATTCTTAAACAACGTTAGTAAGTTTGCCCAACTTTGCGCTGTTCTCGTAGCATTTGAAACGATACGCCAGGGTCTTTGTGTGTACTTCGTGGAAAACGTTTTATTTTCTTTGATTTCTGCTTGCCAGTTGCAACACTTACAGGCAAAATGTTTCGTTTTTGGAAGCTTTTAAATCGATCCACCAACAAACTGGACTCTGGTTTCACATTCCGCAGATTGCCAGCAATGTCTTCTGGCATATTGATATCTATATCTGGATCCACATACTTAAGACGTCCTAACCTTTTAGTTTCGAACTTCTTCTTTAATTCGGCTTTTTTACGGTGCTTTTTTAAAATCTTTAATGCCTCTTCTTCGCCAATGACTTCGGCTTTAATTGACTTTATCCTATGTAAACAAAGAGAACACATTGTACATTTAATCTTTCCGATGGTGAAATTTGTAGTTGTACCTGTTTAAGTCAGCAATTTGCTTTTTCAGTGCTTTCTTTTCATCTTGTTTTTTCTGTAATTCTTTTTGTTGCAATTCTTTCCGCCTTGACCGTTTGCTTTTCTTCTTATTTTCAACGGGTGGATTAATAGTTCTATATTCCCCATCTTCTATAACATCGTTTGCTTCTTCCTCACTTTCATCATCTAAGCCTGAACGCATTTCTTGCAAACGCCGTGTATCACGCTCCTCTGGTGTAACTTTCGAAAACATTTGAGTAGTAACTCGTTTCAAGTGGTTTTCCTCTTTTATGATTTTCTCTTCTCGTTCTACAACTTCTTTAAGCAATGCTTGGTGGTCATCCAATGATGGATTATAACTTAGGCCTGGAGGAGGGGCTGCGAATTTTCTATAA